TATGTCTGTTAAGTGAATCTAAGTTAGTTTATAAACTAATAATGAGGTCATCCCTTAACTCAGCCTCCTTTTCTCCAAGGTAGACAAACCCAGAGTCCTCAAACGCTCCTTACAGGACATGCCTTCCAGCCCTTCCACCAGTTGTGTTGCCTTTGGGATGCATTCACATCCTTCTTAAATGGTGGGGCCCAGAACTACATGCAGTTTGAGTCAGTGTTTACTTGTTCATAAGTAATATTCAACCAGAAAAGGCAGGAATCTCCAAGCTTTTGCTTTTTTCCATTCTCTTTCAAATACAATGTCATTTCAGAGTTTTTGAATTCTTTTGGTTTGATTTTCTCCTTTGCAGACCTCAGTAGTTTGTAACTACGTTTACTGCACAAGTGGTCTTTAAAACTTACTTTAGAATCTTAGTTAAGATTCATAAATAGTTCAAAATATTTCCCAGAGTAGTCTTTTAAAATAATTTATGGAAGCTTTAGAAACGATGTTTTAAGTCTAAATATATTCCCAGCCCTCACTCAAAAGAAGAATTACGAAGTTATCAAGAATCTGAAGACAAAAACGACAGGAGGTCCAAATGGACTTATACTCAGATTTTAAGAGATTCACTAGACTTTTAGTATTTATTAGTGTACAATAAATAATGATAATCTTATGAAAGGAGCAGTTATTCCCTCTTCTAGAGAGACAAATTAGAACAGGAGATTTAGTGAGACACATGCATCCAGACCAAATAGGCTTTGCTGGAAGCAAAGCTAACACAATTGTATCAGAAGAATTCTTGATACAGTACAAAATGCACATCACCCAATTACTTTGTTTTCCCTTGTTGGTGACCTTTGTCCCTTTTACTGAGCAGAATGGAGATCTGTAAGTGTGATGCATCAGAAAACGGCTTTGATGGCACTTCCATTCTACTTGGACATCAGATTTAATAGATCAAGAATGTTGCACAAAAAGTGTATTTCTCAGCAGCACCTTAGATAAAAGATGCAACCCGGCAAAAATAGCCTAATATACTTCCCTTCAGGCTAATCTTGAGATACACATGTAAAATATGAGAATTTTCTTCCCTGCTCTTCTCATTTATCACTTAATTAAAACCAAAGAATTTCTCACTAGAACCTGTCAACCACATAATCCCGGTTAGAACAGAGTAATTATCACCAAATCAGGCTATTTTTGAAAGAGAATACACCACTAGACATTTTAATTTCCACATAAAAGTTCCTCTTTTCCATCAACTTTGACGGAAAAATACACATTGATCTCAGTATAGCTTGGAAGAAAACAAAAAATGATTTCTAGCTATGTTCAGTGTTATTTCAGAAAGTTGATTGTTCCCTTAGTAGCAGATCACATGAAAATATATAATTCTTAGTACAAGTCTGTTTCTGGATACTGCACTCATATATTATGTGGTGTGGTGACAAACCATTTTCCATCCATGCTATTTCTTTTTTTTGTGTTTTTCTTTTTAAGCAGTACACATTAGAACTGTTTTTCTGTCAATGCAATGACTTTAAGCTTCTTGTAAGGTCTTTTCCACATTGGTTTCTACCTCTTTTATGATATGTATGTTCTCTGTATTTAGTGCATCCTCCTCCTCAAAGGCCCACATTTGATGCCACTTACACACGCTTGGATCTCTCAAAGATTTTTCTCTAGTGAGAAAATACAGATATTTTTTTTTCAGCAAAGTACAGATGAGTTGTAGGGATCTCATATTGTATCATACTTCAACTTGTTCATTGAAAGAAGAAAGAGGGATCAGAGACAGAACGGCATATCCTTTGAAGACCGAGCCAGACCTTCTAACTATTTTGCAGGGAACTTCAGAGCTGGAATACTGAGTCTTTGCTATTCTTAACGGAACTGTATTCGATTAGACGACAGGACTGTTACACTTAAAAATGAAGTTAGAAAGCTGACAAAGATAATACAGTATGCGGTCTAGCATATGCTGGGTTTTATTTCTTTATTTATAGATGTTTGGTTTATTTCTTATTCTGCATCTGTTTTCCACAGTAATACACTCTGGACTGCTTTGTTATTACATCAGGTTTTTTATTAGAAGCAGAAGATGGTTGTTTTTAAGGGCTAAGTGAGGAAGAAATTATTTGAAAATAATGAAATTTTTCCTCTGCACAAACCCAAGCAAAATTAAAGCCATTGTTTAAAAAAACAAAACAAAAACAAAAACAAAAAACAACTATGAGAAAGTACCTTTCTTTTCTTCCATCAGTTCTTCCAAAACTGACTTTTTGGAAAAGTTTTTGCAATTTTTTCTTTAGCAAGTTAGTTATGGGTCTATCAACAATGTAATTGCTGTAAACCAATAAAGAAAAAAATACAGGAAAAATAACGTACATAATATTTCCATCTGTGTTAGATGACAAAAACCAGTGTTAAATCCCTACATTCTGTCCCTTGAACAGTCTGTTGCATTGAAATGGCTATCAAAAGTCTTTATTATATCTCTTCTGCTGTCTTCCTCTGAACTCTGCTGGTTTTGATGCTATTGATCAGTGTATGATCATTATTTTTTGTATGCATACCTCCCTAGGCTTGTTTGTACGGATTCCTACAAAACTGAACTATGAAAGCACATCTGCTTTCTCTTAAGAAATTTTACTTGCTTGTATAACTATACAGAGAACTCAAATTTATGTCTTTACTGTAAGAAAGAAACAAACAGATAAAACAAGATTAAAAAATTAATTTTAGGAATTTTTACAAATATTTTTATGTTTTGCTCTTCTTGGTAATGATGCTTCATTTTTGAAGAAAATGCTAAATGCTTACTTACACTACATTTCAGCATGGTAGTATTTTGGGAGTTACAGTCATATTCAACCATTGATTTTCTGTAAACTTATTCTTCGACCTCTGTCAAATCTGGTTGGAATAGGATGTACAGTTCAAAAAGTTTAATGTGATAGTCCAATTGCTTAAAGAAATTGGACTAAAAATAGGTTCAAATCAGCCCTGTAAGTTCACATTCTGCCTTACTGCCAGAGTAGTAACAGGAAATAGAACTACTGTGAGTGCTCTTCTAGGTTTAATGTTACCATTCTGGAACACGAGGAAGCACTGCAGAATGTGTGACTACCACTTACCTTTTTGAGGAGGGATTTCAGTATAAAATGATAAACCCTCACTTCTTATTAAGTCATGTCCTTTACTGTCAAGAAACATTTTTGGCTTATTTGTATACTAATAGCTTATTTATAAATAATTTTCCATCAACACTACTAAGTCAGCTACTCACTGTACTTCACATATACTCTTAAAAGAAAACAAAATGGAGAAAAGCTGCCACCGACCTTGTTTTTATTTAGGAGCACATAAAAAACCGTTATGCCACAGCTTTGGTTGACTGGAATGATATACATACTTAAATTTTAACAGCATTTTAAAAAAAATAGTAAACAAGTGTACATTCATTTGTGTGCAAGACCAACACTGTCAATAACACAATTACATTACAGAAAAATGAAATGTTTTAAGTATATAGCCACGAAACCCTTCATATTTTTGGTATTTAACCAGCATTTTTAGAATTAGTCTACTGAAGTCATTTTGTGTGTGGTAAACACTGAAAACAACCCTGTGGCAAGGTGAATGTAATTATAGTTGCACTGGCTCTGAAGGCAAGTAAGAGCCCTACTTGAAAATATTACTTCAGAAGCTATGTCTTCTACAACTTAAATGTGAAAGGAATTATCTAACTTGTAGTTTATGAAGTCAGTTATTAATAATCAGCCACTTGAACTTACAAAAGTGGACAATATTTTAATACATTTGGGATAATTATAATAATTCAATAATTTTTCATGCCACAGATAAAGTCACAAGAACTGCTGAGACTGGATGATTACTCTACATAACCCTGTAACTCAAAGTTCCACTGACTTACTAATGCTTCTCACAGCTCTTACAATTTTTTTTTTTTGAGAACTTGTCAACCACCTAGATTGGAAGGAAAGAGGTATGAAAATTCCCAGGCCATGATGAATCCTGAGTATTTTGCAACAGTAAGCACTGATTTCTGGAAGACCAAAGTCTCTACTCTGAAGGGATGATAATAAAGCATAGATGGAATATTTACAATTTTTAGGATAAACTTACTAGCAGACCAGCTGTAACCATTTCTCCTTTTATAAAACCTGCTTTTTTAATATCACCTTTTTGTAGAAACATATGGCAAAGCAAATAAAACTGTCTTTTTAGTAAACAAAGGAAGTTTTTGATAAAAACATATACAGTTTTATCTGCTGGATGACAGACAGGTACCCGTATACAAGCATGTATACTAAACAACAAAGGAGAAGGTGTATTTGAATGTTACAGATCTGATGTAAACACAGAATAAAAATCAGGATAGTCAAAAGTGAAAATGCATTAACTCACTCCATCATGCCTAATTATTGCAGCATATATGATAAAAATAATTCAAATGCAGAAAACATGTGCTTATCTTCAAAAATAGGCAAGAGAGATCTCTTTGGAAGTGTAGTTAAATGAAAAAAAAAGCTTCTAGCCAAGACGTGTGTTACATTTCATTCAGCCCACAAAAGAAATTGACAGGGAGATTATAAACTCCTGAAAATAGAAGTTTATAATGACAACAGACAATGCCTTCATTACAGTGACATCGACAGAGCCACTGTAACACATACCACTGCATTGGTATTTTCTTTTTGTACAAGTTTACAGTAAATATTTGAAGACACTAAAAAGGTTCATGTGCAGCTTTGCCATTAAAGGTATGCAGTTCAAACTGATAAATAAATATATTTCCTGAAATGTTTTAGAATTTGAGAAAAGACATTTGACCTAAATACGTAGCGTGCACACTAGTTAACCATGTATGAACTAAAGATTCTTAAGTGCACTATGAACTGCAGACATGAATAGCTTTTGAAACAGTAATTTATTTGAATACACGCTGAAGAATTGTTTAAAAAGTTGCTTCCAGTTTTGTCTGATCAACTTCATTTCTTCTCAGAACGAGTTTCACCACTAAGTTCTACATCTAGTGAAGCCTCTTCATGAGATAGCTTAACATTAGATACACAAACAGAAGATCCAGGGGTAGCTGTACAGATAAAGAAAAAAAGTATTAGGTTTTACACCTAAGAATATCCATGCTAAAAAGCATCAAGAGCAAGAAAAATGCAAGTTACCTAGCACAGAAACACACACAAAGCTACACTGTATCTAATGAGATCAGAAATGCAATGGGATTTTGTTCTAGAGGCCCTCTACACAGCACAACCATCCAAAAGCAGACAGGGTAGCTGGCCAACAGTTCAGACTAAACATACTAATGATTGAATGCATCATGTTATTGGTAGCTTTAGTCAGAACCTGGTCATAGAGCTCTATGGTAAATGTTTAGAAAACATCTTAGAAAGTCTGCCATTTAAATAAATACATTTCTGTTGTTTGTCTTACTTGGAGATAGCTGGAAATCCATTGTACTTCAAAACAAAACAAAACAAAACCCGATGAATTTTCAGGCCATAGAAATTCTTTCAAACACTTCAGAGGATAAGAGAAAGTAACTATTAGCACAGTTTTACTGCTAAAACTATTTGTGCAATGTTACTGAGTTCTTGCTGACCCGTAAAATGATCCTACTTACACAAAGAGGGAATGTTAAGAAATAGCTGCCCTAAGAAATTCTGTAACGTATGGAAGAATCCTACTGCTGGAAATCATGTAATGAAGTTAGCCATTCTGCCTCTGACAGAAGTTACTTACATAAGATTGGTTTCTCTATTGCTATCCTTTCAGGCAAAGTTTCAAGTGGTGTTGGTTGAATTTTTGCAGGGGTGTATGTATTTAAAGAAATTTTTCTTCCTGACAGTGGAATCATGTAAGTTGGAGAAGCTGAAAGGGGGGGGGGAAGAAAAGATATACATCATTAATAATAAAAATACTGTCACCTGAGCAAAACATCAAAAATAGCAAACACAGGACTGTATAGCTGTCCAGCAATATAGATGCCACTGTAACACAACCTGCAGCTCAGCTACCAATTTTGACTCTAGTGTCAAAACTTCAAAGCATGAAAGACAAATCTAAAAATCTTTTTACTTCAGAAAGTGACATCATAACTTCATGCCACGAAGGCAGCTAAGCCAAATTTCAGTAACGGCTGCCTTGCCAGAACACTGGCAAAAGCATTAGTGCTACTTTCTCATCAGTGATGCACTGGAATCTATTTAGTCCAAAATGCCTACGAAAAGTGCATGCAATAGATTATTCTCTAGACTGCTTTTGAATGTTACAGGAAAGCAAAAGGAGAACAAAGCACCTACAGCCTCAATTCTATCAGGTGTTAATTTCCAACCACTCCTTTCTAGAAAGGTGACAACCAGACCACCACAGAAGTATGACAGGGTTTCTTTTTAGAATACTTTTTCGTCTTGTGTACTTTATATTTTGAACTGATTTTGAGGAGACATGAACTTCCTAACCAGTGTAACAAAACATTTTAAATAGCTGAGAACTTTAAAATACCTGTAAGCCTCCATGAGTTGTTCTTCAGTAATATGAGTTTTCTGAAACTGCTTATCTTCTTTCTCAGATATAGGAGGCCTATCCTATCAAATTAGCTGCTGATTAAAATCTAAACTGTATAAAACTAAAATAATAGAAAAAAGAAAAAAACAGAAAAAAAAAGGAAAAATCCTAACATTTATGTAACCTTTGTATCAGTACTAGCAAGTACAAATTTTCTGATCAAAGCATGAGTCTTTACACATTTCCTCAAGAAGAATGATTTTCAATCACCTGACACATGAATTATAAGCATCCTAATACATGGTAAATCTGACCTAACTGAAACTGTTTCCAAAGACAAAGCAGTAGAATCACAATAGGAAGTCATCTTCCCAGAGACACGCACATAGATAGAACTCTGCGTTTCATTTCAAGATCACTTGAACATTAAACATGCAGCACAAACTACCAAAAGAACTAACTGCAAGGCACTCCAGGTGAAACTCCAAGTTTCCAAGTAATATTGAAAGAAGCAGAAAATAACACAGTTTTAAGATGTAAAAGGCTTGTAAATGGCAACACTAGTGTGCTTAAAAAACAAACAAAATTGTAATTGTAATTCAGCTAACAGTTGGACAGCACAGAGAAGTTCTCAATATGAGGAAATAAACCAATTACAATTTCATTAAATCCTTAATTTACTATCCCAGTCAACAGAGACATTACTTTAATGAATTATGACACTGTCCATACCACTAAAGAGATACTGCAAATATTATGCTTTATGTACATGTTTCATTTTTTTAAAGCAATAGTCTTAGTTTACTTGTTAGCTGTAAAATACTGGGAAGATTAACTAGACAATATTTAACAATTTAAAATTAACATAATTACAAATTAAAATCAGTACATGTTTCCTGTAGATTTTCCCTTGATGGAGCAGCAACAGAGGCAAGAAATTCATCCACCTGCTTCAAAGACAAGGAGTTGTGTAGAGTTTCCAAAGGGCAAATAGAAGGCACCATGGAATATAGTTCAAAACCTGAAAGAAAAATAATAAAAAAAAAAGAGATTTCCAAACATAAGACAGGATTTAAGCTATTGCATGGGCAAATATTAATGCATGATAAAAAGTACTTATTTTAAAGCAGCTCATGCAGACATAGTACTCTTGAAATCATGGACACTAAATACTATAGGAGTTGGAACAAGATGTGCCAGTTTCCAGGGTGTACAAAACTAAACGTACCATGTACCATACTATGGGATACAAATCCCATGTACACATAAAATGGTCTTCAAACATTAGAACTGTGCTCTATTCCCGATTCAGTTCATGAAAGATAACTTTCCTTTAAGACAAACTTAGTAAATCACTAAAAAAAAATATGTCAGGAAATGGTAGTATTTCTCCTACTCATTCTCACACCTGGCACAACACTAAATAAATAACTCAATTAAGTGAGTAAAATAGAATAACTATGTTGTCAACTGTTAGCAGACAAGAGCTAAAAATGCTGTAACTTCCAAAAAATAAATTTGCAGGATTCACATTCTATCATCTTCAGTATTCTGTAAAAACAAACTGTTACCTTAAATATCAAAGGAAAACCACTGTAAGCACTTTTGTACGTTGAGGTTACATGTTTTAGCTTCATAAGACAGATTTACACCTACCTTTATGCATTCATAAAAATTTTCATATATTAGAACAGGTAAGTATAGCAACCCAAAATCTAAAAAAAAATATTGGAATTTGCTTGTCTACATTAGTATTGATCATACACCAACCATGCATATCCATATTACTAACATACTAAAAAGCATTTAAACATCCTGGCAAAAAAAAATTTCAGTTCTCTAAAGTGATGCAAGTTTGATAACCCAATGAACAGCTCTTCATCCAATTGCATTTCAGAAGAGGAAAGTATGTCCACTAGTGTTTTCAACATACAGATGTAACATTAAAACTTGGCAACTCAATATTGTAAATTTACAGTTGCTACATTTAAGATATTTACATGAAGAAACAATAGTGAATGAAATAATGTTTAGAATTTCAGTTCAAGGTACATTTATTAGAGATAGCATTATGACTGTGAACTGTGACCTCTCCTAAAATAATAAGCATCAATATTCTTGTGATATCCAGTGTTCCCCATTCACTCCCCATTTAGTACTTTGCATACAGAAGTAACTCAACAAAATTTCAACGCCCAAATGTCTGTATTTATATTTGAATCCACCTTGCCAATACTCAAATCTGAGGGACAGTTGCTTCAAATATACAATCAACTGAAGTGTACTTATGTAAGCATCACTTATTTTACCAATAAAATGTTGCACTTCATGGAAACTTGGTCTTCATGTACAAAAGAAACACCACCACATACTTAATTTGTATTTTCCTATAAAGGCAGTAGCTGAGCTTCAGTCTAAGTACTAAGATGTTTGGCATACATATTAATATCCTAAATAACTATGCATGCATGCAAAGTGCTAACCCTTTCTTTGCTTTACAGTAAAATACAAAATTTATCTCTTTACCCTGACAGAAAAGTAACTATCACTTGAAAGATAATTTATTTTTAATTTTGCAAAGAATGTAGTGGGACAATGTCAGGTTTTTAATAACTGTTACTGTTGTAGTCCAGTGTTACAAAAAAACAGAAAGGAATCTCAAAATACACCCATGCTCTTAACAAAAAGGAAAAAGTTTTCTTCTTTCACGAATTTCCCCTTCGTAGGTTTTTGTTCAGTCTCGACAATTCTGCTATTAGATAGCTATATCCCAGCATGTTGTTCTAGTATCTTTGCATCTAAGGGATATGACTTAAAAGATACCCTGGAAATCTATCTGCAGTGTTTTATTTGAATTTTTTTTGCTGATAAATATTTTATGATGTTATGAGAAAGAAATTTGAATTTTAATGATGAAGCCTGACAGTATCCCTTTAAAAAAAGCAATTTTCTGTAAACTAAAGGCCTTTGAGTTTTGGCTATATTTATTCTTAAAGCACTGTCCCCATCAAAAGGCAAGACAATGAAAGGGTTAACGCAGTATCTCAAAAAGCCACCCTGCTGTCTTATACTTAAAAGCTGTAGAGACATACCACTGGAGCCTAGAAATTCCACAGAGGAAATGGACCCGCACCTAAAGAGGTGTGGGTGTTCTGCACAGAGGCCCAGAAAATAAGGTAAAGCACTGGCAGGAGATAGTTGTTTCACCATGTTCCTTGAACTAAAGACGGGGGGGTGGGTAGGATAGTCTGAAATGAGTTAAGAGGGTGTGATAACAACATAAAAATAAGAAAAAAGAGTGAAAGGGACAAGGAGAATCAAAATGATAGTCCAGGGGACAGACAAAACAACATCAATATGTTCTTATGTTAGTAGAGAACCCTTGGAAACCTGCAATATACTTAGGTTTCATAGGAGCTCATACAGCATTAATCTTGTAAAAGATGTGTGGTAAACTGCTGTATTAAATGAATCAGAACAATCAATGCATTCATTAAAAGCAATTTAGATCCTTTTTTAAAGAATGCAATCACAAAAAGATAGTGCTAAATGGATCAGAAAGTAATCTTATTATTAGACTGATAAATGCAGTTCTTACTTTCTGATCTTGTATTTTAGGAAATATTATTTGGCTTGAGTCTAAAGATAAAAAATGGACTCCTAACTCTCCTATTTGAACTAAAACACTAGAACTGGCCTCTTAGATCAAACACAGCCTTAATGGTATTAGTTCAGCCTTACTATAGCAGTTTCCCTTCAAGAAGCACTGCAACACAGAAAGTCACTGTGGATTCCAAATGAATATAATAAGGGACTACTTTGCTTCTCAGCAAAGCCAAACAAAACCTCAGTCTTTTTTTTAACCTTGTTTCTAAGCAAATACATTTTGAATCTAACGTGAAAATGCTGATAATTTCCACTGCAGTTTCAGTAATATTACCGTCACTGTACTCAGCCAGCAGTGACGCACATTTTAAAACTGCAATTAAGAAATCTGGAAAAGCTACATTAAGATCCAGTGGATGCTGAAGATTAAGTCTGGTTTTCATGAACAGGATACATTTTGGACCTATTTAATCATATAGAAAGGTAGGCACGAAATATTTTGCTGAGGGAGAGAAAGACATACCTCTGTCCTGTGCGTTAAACCAGACTTTTTTTTAACTATGATAGACTGAAGACAAGTTAACTCTCACTCTTGAAGCTCAAGAGGTCAATGTAAGCAACAGGCAGCTCTCCTTCTGTGATTTTTAGTGCAATATTTAAGTAATTTGCACATCTGATGAACAGAGAAGTATGATAAGGTAAAATAAATTTCTGTCCGCTGATAAATACAGCAATTTAGCAGGAATGGAACATGCAGAATGCTTCTGCTTTAGTTTTTTAATTTAGCATCACTTCAAGAAGATAGTCAAACTCCAGTTGTCAATTCAGTGATTTATTTTAGAATCAGGAGTCTCATGGAAACAGCTCAGCAGGAGAAAGACAAAGAAGAAGCAGCAGCTATCAAGAAGTGTATGCCCAATAAAGATCAGATTTCATTCTGGTTTTATCTTGTACCATACAGTCTGATCATACAAGAAATTGGGGAGAATAATTTGTTAGAGATCATGATTCACAGTAGCACTTCAATTTTTTCAAGAATTTTTCTAAGGAATTAATTTTGATGTTGTATTTATACTAATGAATGGTAAAGAAAAGATTTAGGACATCTAATGATTACAAATATATTTGGAGTTGTGCTTGGAAGTTAGGAATGACAGACGGCTGAATGATACTGTACACCCTGAATTTGAAATAAAAATAAAAGGGATGAAGCAAGGAACCTTTTGTTTTTGTTTTTAAAATAAAAGCAAAACGTACCATTGGTTGGGTGTCGAGCAAATGAGATAGAAAACCTTTTAACAGCAGAACCGCGTGTGGTGTCTGAGAAAGAGAAAAACAGGTACCTGAAATTTGTAACAGCTACCAAAAGAGGGACATTTTAAAAAAGGAAAGGAAGAAGAAAGAAAAAAAGAAAGGATAAGAAGGTATTAGAACTGAGTGGCATGCACAAGAGACCAAGGAAAAGGGCTAAAATCTAAATAGAGGTTAAAAAGAAGAAAGTTTGGATTGTTGATAACTACAAGATGTGTAATGAAGTGTATGAAAACAAGCAGAATGAGCTGGTGATTCTGGCATACAAGGTTGTATTGTTAGAGTTGAACACTGAGTAGTGAATTGGGGGGAAATCAGCATGAATACTGTTTCATCTCGGAGTTATAAAGGTGTGCTTTGGTATCTTTACATTCTGAAATCTAGTGAGACAGTTTCTTGTCTAGCCCAGGTTATCCAAATCTGAAAATCTCCTGCTCCTTTGTAATCCAAACCCCACTAAAAAAGGTCAGGAATCCTAAAATTTTCACCATCAGTATTTAAGTTATTAGTTTATCATTTCTTTCATTCCTTGTATATGCTCCAAGCAATTTATTTCATTTCAAGATCAATATGCAATGATAAAACCTGAAGTTTAAAATAAGAAAAGAATTTCAAACCCAAGATTTTGGTTTACTTAAAAAATGCACTTGCTGAAATCTCCTGGCATGTATTACAAGTCAGTGAGCTAGTGTTCAAGACAGAAACAAGAATTAACTATGCTATTAAGTTAAACATAAGCAAGCTACGGGCAATAAAGAAGCAATAGAAACTCATAAAATTAATACTAAGGCAAAGGATTCTAGGATTCCATTAAAATCAGTAACCTAGGATTTATCTTTAGAAGTTTAATGTGGCACATGGGTTTGTGCGTGCATGTGCGAGAGTGTGCACATACCATCTATGAAGCCAGAAGAAGTCAGCTTTTTACGATGAGTACGAGCATAATCCTGTAGGTTAGGTGCACTTGAAGAACCCCCGAGCACTGAGGTGCTAAACAGGCCCGCACAGTGAGACCCTGATGGGAGTTAGAGAAAATACATACAAAAACCAGGTGTTCGTCCATTCACATTGGGGATGCATGCAGCATGCAAACACATGGCTCTTACCACACAAAAGGCAGCTTTTGGCAGTGCCTTGGACAGGTTCACAATATGCTTGTAATGTCAGAGTGGTACTTGTAGGCTGAAACTATCATAATTTATTGTGCTTCTACTCATGACACAGCACCCTCTGCTATTTGTGCAAAGAGAGGACTGGCTTTAACAAAGTGAGTTCTTGTCCTGTTTTCACTTTTGGTAAAGAAAAGTTACCAGTTAGCATCAATGTAAACATAATCAAAACAAGAAAACAAAACAAAGATGATGATGATGTGAAAGTTGTGTGGTTTAAAACCTGCAGTTCTGAAACAAATACAAACTGGAAAAATACTGCTCATTGCTTTCATCCAAATCAACCTTTGGGATGACAGGCTGCAATGATGTAGTCATGCATTTCCACAGACTTAGTATGGAAATATTTCCCTTCTAACCCCAACAGAATGTTAACCAAATTGGAAATATTCTAATTTGTATTTCAGCTACCATCATTGACAATGTTACAAACTGAAAATACCTAAAAAGTTCCATCAAGTTTAGCCTGACTTCCTTTCCTAAGACTTTTGTACATGTCCATGCAAGTTAGAGTACTTTTTTTACAAATCATACATTGCTGCCACTCGGACAGGAATTTTAACAAATCACTGAAAGCCACAAACAGAAGTATAAAAACGACTTTTATAATCATCAACCATAAATTAAATTTACATATAACAATGAACAAAATGGGAAAAAATGTTGCAATTTTTTTCCTTTAGTTTTTTACTACTAGTTGAAAGGAGAAATGGTTTTTCACTCAGAACTGATCTTTTATATTTTAGATAAGCAGCAGATTTTTTTAAAAACCAACTATCTATCCAGTGATATTTCCTTTCATTGCTTTTAGTGACCCAGTGAGGGGAAACATTACCAGCACATGTGACCAATCACAGCCAAAATAAATTGGTGCCTGGTCTGTGGCAAAAGCCTTTCACACCAAATGTAATACCTTAATCTATGCACAGAAATACATCTACTTCCACAAGCCATACTGTGTCACACATTGGCAAAAGAAAAGTTGTTTAACTTTAGCGAGCACACAGTAAAAAAAAATGACTTCGATAAACAAGAGCACCTGATGTATGCATTTTACTAAGGGAAAAATATAATAGGGAGAAAAGTATCACAAAAAGATTAGACATACAAAAAATACAGATGTTTACAAAGAAAGGGAAAGCTACTTCTAAGTTTATGCATATAGGTTATGCACTTTCTACACTTCGTTTTTCCCATGAAGACACATTTACAGAAAAAAATGCAATATTGATTTACAGTAGTGCAAGTTTTCATATTTTTGCATATCAGTCATATGTATTCTGTTGCTTCTTTGAAATAGGCAAAGCACCGCTTGAATTAAAGAATCTGAAACAACTCTTTGAATTATAGCATTCTACTGCTGAAAGGAAGAAATTTATTTTAGGAGAGGGAATGTGTGCAAAACCCCTGATACTATCAAGAAACTTGAAGTTTGTTTCCCATCCCCCTCCCCTTGGTAAAACATCTTCAATTTCATCAATTGCCCACAGTAGGAAATGTTGATTTTGAAGAAAAGTATTTTAACAGTTTCCAATGCAGACCACTTAAGCCAAAAGATTCATGCAAAACCCAAAAACTCAGTCATGAAGTACATTATCTTAAAAGTCTTATTTATGTTAAAAATAATCCTGTGTACCTGTTGCAAGCAGTACAGAGTCAGTAGTGGGAACAGTCTCAAATAATTTGTTCTTTTCAGTTATAATTTATAACAGTTTTTACTGTTTTTTACTGTACTTTCAGTTTTTACTTTTGCTGCAGAAAAATTGTCCAGTTTATAGGCAGACACTCAGCATATATTATTGGTAACAAGTACTATTGGGTCCTGTTAACATAAAAACACTATACAACTGTGCAGAACAAGGGGCAGATGAAAAGCTGCTAACATAAAATAAAATTTCAATTGTAGGCACATACCTAGACCACTCTGCTTTTGTTCCAGAATAGTTCTTGGTGTCCGTAAGTTACTATTGCTTTCTGATAGGACCTGGATATAAAAAACAGAAAAATAAGGGAAAGTAGAACAGCAGCATGAAACGTCCATTTAACTTGATACAGCAGCCTGTTTCAGACAGACAAGTGTTAATAAGCTGTATGATAAGTGTTAGTAAAAATATGTAAAAGAAACATGAAAGATCATGCAATATCCCCTTCTGAAGGGAGTCCATTTCACATATGAGTTCCTTGCAATGAAGTGGTGCAAAGCAAGCATTCAGAATGAGAAAGGGCACAGACCAAGACAGATATGAGAACAGACATTTGAGACATTTTATTTCATTTTACTAAATGCACTCTCCTAAACTGCGCCTGTATTGAAAAAAGGAGGGGAGGGAAGGAAAGACAGACAAGCTATTGAGGATACCATACAATCACTGATCCATGCACGGGCTCAATCAGTGTAATCTTCAGATGCTCACAGCCTTTACTGATATAAACTTTTCCTATGTAAATAGTTTTAGAATTTTCCACAATAAAAAGAAATTACGAAAATTTTCAAAGAAAAAAGGATATGGTTAGCAGAACACCATCCATTGTCTTACATGTAAACAATACTGTGACATACCAAACAATCTTTAGATCTTCACTAGTACTTCAAAAAATTTACTGTGGTCTTTTTCCCCCTGCCTTTCCCCCCAATATTTAGAAAAAATCTTCAAAATATTGTACAAGTCAATGGATGATGTACTGTTTTGGGAGTTTCAGATACATCCGGATACAACAGGTGAGAATTATTAGTGCTCGAGTTTGTTCCCTGCAACAGTTAATACCAGGTCACTGAAAATATGATATATGCAAAACAAGTTTTGAGTAGCAATATGGAGTACCAAATAAATTATTTTTAATGGTATTGGTTGCAATTATTAAAAAAAGTTTTTCAATTTACCTACCACCAAATTAAGCAATGCTGGTTTTAAAGTCTTAAAGGACAACTAAACCAAAGCAGAAATCTGTTTCATTAGGCAGTAGACTAAGTCTTTTTACTGTGGTAACTTTTGCAATTCCTATAAAGAAACCACATTTTTAGGAAAACATGTAACACATTCAGTGGAAAAACATGCACTTGCTCTTTTTCCCCCAAACATTCTCGGGAAGTAATTTTAAGACGTGGAAGAATTTGCTTTAAACGTAATCCGTAATAAGGGATTAGATGTCCTTAAAGACAGTTGGTTGTTGCTTGGAATGCATAATAATGTTTAATGAAGTAAAGTTTAAAAACCTGTTGCCATGAGCCAAAAATACTGGATGTGAAAGCCAATGATTTAGGGGAGACAGGGGAAGAAGTGATTTGTTCCCCTGATCTGCGCCTTCGACGCCCAGTACCCACACCACTGGTGTAATGCAGCCAGGTACCAATACACTCTGGGCTAGACACACTCAGGGGGCTCTCTTCCTGGAAGTGAGAAAGGGGGCAAAAAACAGCAAAGCATGCAAAGTTAGATTCAACAGAGCCAAATGAACAGAAAAGAAAAAAAACCCAATCTGCTTGCACCCTTCTATATAACTGTTTTTAAAACTATTAAACAGCCAATAGGGAAAAGTAATACTACAATATTAGGTAGTTATATCTTTTCATCCAATTTTATCTTTTAACATAACACTTCAATCAAATTTCTGGTAGATTAATTATTAGATAAAAAAGTAATTGTTATCAATAATTGACTCATTATTTTAAGAATTTCCCACATGTTGGAAACAGAACATCTGTTATCCTTGACATACTGTTTAATAGTTTTCACCTTTGAAGTACATTAAACTTTCCTATTTATTACTTAATAGTTTTCATTTCTAGTCTTTCACCTTATCTAAAAGATTCTCATGTTCAGAATTGCCTTTGAGACTTTACAACTGACTCACTGGTAGTAGCACCAACCTGACTGGTCGTAGTTTTCCAACCTTAAGAAAGCCTTAAAAATTATCCGATGCTGGACACCTATTAAGACTTCAAGGGAGGACAGTGTCAGGCTAAGAGTCTCCCATGCCCTACATCATTATGTATCATTAGCAATCAACATTTTTAGCAATACAGAATTTGATCTCCAATGCTGATGAGCTGTACTTCCTTGTATGCTCTTTGTTTTGTTTTCATGACTCAGTCACACTTGCAATCCTTTTGTAAATATTGCTGACTATACCCCAGATTAAAACTTCAATACAATCTCACACCTGACAGTGTCCTTTCAAATTAATGGACATAGGTGAAAAGAGAATTGCCTTATAGGGAGAGGACAAAAAAAAGGTTCAAGGCAGTTGCAGTTTAAGTTGCAATGACTTTTTTAAACACTTCAAAATACAATTTGGTTTAAATATTCCAAATACTGGTTTTGCAGATTTCAGTAGGCCAGATGAAACTTCCAATTTTACTTTTTCAAAAAAAGTTTCATAGTGTATGTTTTCTTTAAATCGGCTATTTTCTTTCAGCAAATAAACAAGCACTGAATGCTGAAACACATTCCATCTGAACATAAATTATCTGCACAATCAAAATTTAGCAATTTATGTTACTGATACCTTTTGAAAGTAACTTCTACATAAAGCATGAAAATGATTAGAAGTTTGAAGCAATAGACTATTAAGTTGTGTGTATATGTGAACTCATAACTAGGAGGGGAGTTTGCATGATCATAATGAAAATAGCTTTTAAAAATCCAAAATATTGATGTTGTGAGCATTTGTTTATGATAAAACTTGGAAATAGAAAATATAAGACATTCACATTTATTATCTCTGTTAATTTATGGAAGTCATGTGAAGTTATACAGATATTCTTACAGAAGGGAACCATGCATCTTTTTGTATCCACGCTACCAATAACCCAGTTACTTGCAAATCTGTAATACTGTCATTGCATACAGACAGCCCATTCGCAACATACACATGAAAGAAAAAGCTTTTGGTGTGAATCTTTATTTCTGATGGTTTAAGCAACTGAAAATGAGGCAATAAGAAGCTGTTAGTCTGCTTCTAGCATTAATATCACAGATGTGCCACTAAGCACCATCTGAAGCTTTGCCACTCAACTGTACAAATGTTATCAGTGATACTGCTGTGCATTCCCCCACCTCTGTGACATTAAAGCCATATGTGTGAAGCACACCTAGATGTCACGGCCTTCAAGACAAAAGACTAGACTGTTCAAGATGCTATCTAAAGAATTAATGAAACACAAACCCCACCCACTTAAAAAAAGCTTCCAGTTTATTCTCTTACCTTCAGATGCTTGACAAGTGGAGTCAGTTTCACCCCACGTGAAAGCAACTACCACAGAAGACATGACTCTCACCTCCTGTACCTCCCCTACCGCCCCCAATCCCTCTGTTCCCTCTCAGCATGATCACCCTGAAGGTCTGCTTATTTCCCAGTAGCAGCTGTCTTGTAAGGATGAATACAAAAGCAATGTATGTTAGTTTGAAGATGTAGGTTTAGACTGAAAAAGTCTTAATTTTCAAATGCTGGCTTTTCTAAAATGGCTTAAAAAAGAAAAAAGGAAATAAGTCTTATTGCAAAATACTAATTTTAAAAAAGCAAAATATTCCTTCAGACAAATTACTGCCGTGGAGGATTTGCCATAGAGTAAGAGCAACCCTTTTGTGAGACATAACATCATACTGGTTCTGTGTAATCAAAAGCAGAATTACATTTGTTTTTGTTTTGTTAAAAGTAAGCAAAAGTTAATTTCTGTGAAAGACATGATTTGGAACAGAAACACTTACTTCAACAGAACCAATTTTCCTGGATCTCGGAAGGGGTGACTTTCTGTGTATGTGAATTGGGTCTGATACCATTGGCTTGAACATCACTACTGACCGATCAGTTTCATCTCTTTTAGGAACATGTGCCTCCTCATCACTATCATTTCTGTGAGAGGTTTTCTTCGAACCTTCATTCTACAAACAAAACATAATTCATTTTCAATTTAGCTGCAACACATAGACAGAAGTGGCTGTTAAATTAATCTTCTGTGTAAACATAAAGCAAGCTGATTTAAATAAAACCAAGATGTAAATCACATATTATTGAACAAATTGCTCTAGACTTTAATAATCCATGTGTATTTGCTCCTAACCAGCCACTGCATATGATACTGTGGTCCTAATTAACCACACTTTTCAGCCAACATATCTTACTCAAATTTTCTGTTGACATAGTAATAAAATCCTAACCCCACAAGTCAACAGAAGAATTCTAGCTGAGCTTTGCTTTTCTTCATTTCTCAAAAAGCAGGTGGTATCTCCACAGAAAATATCAATCCTTCCTCAACAAGCTGTATTCATAAACATGCCAAACTACTTTCATGAATATTTCTTTCTATTGCTGGAATATCATTGATGTGACACAGAAGTTGGTATCACTTTTCTTATAATGAGTATTTCATACTTCTAGTAAACCTTTTGGCAAAGCCATAGAAGCTCCAAATTATCTGTGTGCATTAACTCAGTGTCCAGTCAAAATAAAATACATTGTGATTGCCTATATTTTACTACATATTTTTCTGTGGAAATCAAAATCACATTTGTATTTTTTACCTAACAATTTTCTAGTGTTTATTCTAGGTAATGTCCACATCCAGAAAAAACCTAACTTTTGCTTTAAAGAAAGGCACAATTATTACCTCTCTGGAGGCAGGTCTGTATCCATATCCAGCTGGTAAATTTTTATCTTCCTCACAGCCTTTGGCTCCTGGACTGAAGTGCAGCTCTACATGAAAACGCTCTTCTGAAGAAAGTTCCTGATGGAAAATGATTAAATAGGTTTACCCATTAACACATAGCTTAGCACTACTCACTTCTGAAGATACTTATCCATTTTAAATACCTTGTTTGGATCCTCATAAAGCATGATAACAATCTGTGTCATGTAATTGAGTTCATTGACAACATTTAAATAATCCATAGCTCGTTTCCATTGTTCATCTTTTGATTCCTTATGAAGGGAAAAAAAAAAAAAAGCAGCAAATAAAACCCAGTGATTTTCTTTAAAAAGACTGATGATTTCTCTTTTTCCCCATTTACATGTATTTTACATTCACAGCAGAAGTATGAAGCTTTTCACAGCTAAGGAAAAAAACTGAAATACAACCAGGAAACAAAAAAAAAGTGACTTAAAATTACCCATCAAATGAATGAAAAGTGGAGATCAGAACTTTTCACATTTTATTTCACTGTATCTTCTATATTCTTTCACCCATGATGACATATGCTGTGTAGACAGAGGCACCGTTTTAAACTCTCCCAATGGGAATTGTTAATTTTGCAATAAACTCATTTCAACTAGTATATTGTGGAAAATGTTTCTAGATATCGCTCTACCAGTCCAACAGAGTAAATGAAGGCTTCCAGTACATAGAGGAAAAATAACAATCACATCCCAAACTATTTAAAATTTCTATTCACCTTTTCCCATGCTCTAGAAAAAAAATACATTTAGTAATCCACTTCAAAGGAAACTTAGAAGTTTATCAGCCTAAAACAAGGCGTGTATCTGCTGCAGCATATGTCACAGAGGTCTAGGATTAAAAATGCATTTGCCATCAGTGAGTTTAGTCATCCATTACCAGAAACAATTACATCAATTTCAAATGTTAATATATTAATCAAGCACTATCTGAGAAGCAGCCATGTAGGCTTTGTGGTGCCGCATTTATCCTCTCCAAGAGGATAAATTTAGGTAATTTAGGTATCTGGAGACCTTATCTTTTTTAGTCCATGGTTTCAAAGCCAATCAGATGGAGAATAGCGCATCACCTTCAAGGTATTCTAGGACAGCATAGGAAACTAAGACAATCCACTGAACAGGATAAACTTTGCACTACATGAGCATTCTTGAAGTCAGGTAGGGAAGTTTTGACAAAATGCCAATGGTCAAAAATAATAGGCCAGTCCAAAAGTGAATGCAAGAGAATCCTGAATGATAACTTGAGGGAAAAAGAGTTGGAAGAATTATAGGTGACAACGTAAGACAAAAAAATGGATCATCTGCCCTTTTCAAATCTCTTTGAGACCATAACATAAACAGCTGAACACACCAACAGAACTCAGCATTACTTTAAAGGGCATGGCGACTTCTACCAATGTGCACACCAGCAATTTGAAATATGTCTCTCCATATATAATAGGAAATCAAATGTTTGAAAAAATGTGATATATTTCAAAGCCACTTAAGAAAATTAAGTTTTTAACTGATACAATTTTAGTAACATTGAGTCCTTTTGGTTCCTCTCAAAATATCAGAGCTTTAACAGAAAAAGTGTTCAACTTACATCACATAAGGCACCATAACGAAGGGTGGACAACAGGGAGTGGACATGACTCTCACTGGTGAAATACAACCGTGTACGAACATGGCGTTCAGGGGACATAACGCCCCTGGAATAACTTGAAAGAAAAAGATCTTATTAGACCATAATGACATGTGTCCCTATTTTACAAATAGCTGTCAATAAATAAATAAATAAATAATACTTCTTAAATTACTATGACAAGCCATTTCAAATATGAAATCTATGGAGTATCTCCATTAAGTCTTACAGTAATTAATGTAACCATGTGAAAAAGTAAGAGACTTACAGAGGGTGAAGCTTATTTACAGTATCATCATCTTGAGTTCTTTGAAGGTCAGAGCGGATTTTTCTAACTAGAGGAGTGCAGTAACCTTTGGCAATCTCTAGTTTCTCAGCCTTAGAAATACCATATTCCTGTTTAAGAGGAAATTGACTTTTAAAATTCAGTTAAAGATTAAAATGCCTTCTAATTCAAAGCTTGTATATTAAAGCTAATTAGTCATCTATTAATTTGCTCTGGCTGCAAATTGTTTTGTTTAACATTTTTATTACATTTGATTACTGATGTCCAGGTAACAAGATGTTTGCCTTTTTTCTGTTTGATTTGACACAGAGAAACAATTTTTTATTCACCAGTTAAGCCACAAAAGTGGATTCACCTTCTGGTCCAATGAAGCTCTTTTTCTTAAGCAAAACAATTACTCCTTCGTTGTTCCTCCTCCCCGCCCCCTGCCCTGGATTTAGACATCTATAATGCATTACAGACATGAGATAGATCAGACAATGAACTACTAGAGACAAGGAACTACTGGAGAGAGTCCAGGGGAGGACTACAAAGATCTCTTGTATGAGGAAAGGCTGAGAGAGCCAGGTCTGTTTAGCCTGGAGAAGTGAAGACTGAGAGAGGATCTCATTAACGCTTATAAATATCTAAAGGGCTGGTGTCAAGAGGATGGGGCCAGACTCTCTTCAGTGCCCAGCAACAGGACAAGGGGCAATGGGCACAAACTGGAACACTGGAAGTTCCATCTGAACATGAGGAAAAACTTCTTCACTTTGAGGATGACAGAGCACTGAAACAGGCTGCCCAGAGAGGTTGTGGAGTCTCCTTCTCTGGAGATATTCAAAACGTGCCTGGACGTGATCCTGTGCTACCTGCTCTAGGTGATACTGCTTTAGCAGGCGTGTTGCACTAGATGATCTTTAAAGGTACCTTCCAACCCCTACCATTCTGTGATTCTTTGATTTTATCTCACCTGATTTCATGTAACAATCAATAAAGAGACATAGGCACATTACCTATTTAATATGCCTATTTGGGGTAAACCAGCCCAGAGAAGATCTCCTATTCACCTCAAATATTACTGAACATGGCAGTTAAATACAAGTGGAAAATATTGTATCTGTTATAGTATCCAATATTTTAAAATCTGCTTTCCAGAAGCTTCATGCTCTGTGCTGCACATGATATTAAAGTGCTCTCATGATTATGAAGTCAGGTTACCCTAGAAAGTGACATAAGCACTGTTTCTTTGCATTATGTAGGCTTATCAAGTTTTTCAGTTTTCTTCCTTCAGTATGTGTACTCTTCTCTAACACTCTACCCAAAATTTAAGCTTAACAGGGCCACATAACACAACACATACTTAGAATCATTGCTCTTTTTGTCCTCCATCCTGTCAGGGAATTTGAGAGACAAGGAGAGGAAGAAGTTCCCTCACTTGCTGCATACAACATGGATAATACCATTAGAACACTGCTCTGTAACTGGAGGGATACTTGGGGAAAGCTTTAGTCTGTTCTGTCCTGTTATCACAAAACAGTTTCATGTCCTACAGCCTACAAGATTTTAGAGCTAACCTGAGTTTAACAGCCTGCAGTATATGGAAGTTTAATGTGTCTGCTTCTGGCCTGACATTCTACGAAACTTGATGTGTACATTATTATCAGGGAGTGTTAGCATTTTGAAGTAGTAGAAAAGTCTTTTTAAATTGCTTAAAACAAGTAAAATTAGATAGATTAGGATTAACAGTGTCATTTGCAAAGTGCCTGAAAGTGAAACTTCTAAAAGCAGGAAGAATGAAATTAAATACAATTTCAGAACACACAGTTGTTCACAGGGGCTCCACTTAAATCTAAAATGGCTGATATGAACCATTTTATTTTAATACACTGCAGTAAAGGAAGCAGACATGTTCACTGCTTAAATTGCTAGAAAAATTCACTTTGAGCACAGCTTAATGAATTATGAATCAATTTTTTCTTACAAAAAACAATCAGCTTGGTACCAGAAAAAAAGAGGTAATGATAAATGCTCCTATTACTGCAAAATACAGGAACCTTCAATAGAAAAGACAGAGGAGACTTTTTCACAAAATTTGAAAAAGCATTTGTTCTACAATTTATGCTATTTAATAACTGACAATGCTTACCTGAGGGATCACAATGTCAGCTAAAGCCTTTGAAAGCCTGTATAATTCCATTGTGTTTTCTAATTTTAAGGAGCCATTGTGCTGCACATCATATTTTATACAGTCATAAATATCAGGAATTTTGCTAATATCATATCTTCCATTTTTTGTTTTAAAGTCTTTTTCCAGCTTGGCCCACCTGCGCAGCATCAGTTCTAGTGTTTCACTGTGGTAGAGCTGAATATCTGGACAGACACATATCTCATATAAGTAATCAAAACCATCCAAGTAACAAAAGGGAAATTTCAGTTACATGATACTAACAGTTGAATATAGAGGGATAAAAAGGATCAAATAAGTTAAATGCATTACTTCTAAGAAGAGGGAACAGATGTGCATATGGTTAATTTTACTGCTGAAAGCATCATAGCTACATAGCTACATCAAGATAGTAGAAAGCTTTGCTGCAGAAATGCACCACTGGCCCTTTAGGCAAAGGTAGAGCACCAAAAATAAAGTGTCCTACAGCACAGATTATATACATTAAAAAAAAAGCAACAACAAAAACCCCCCACCTAATAGTAAGAAAATTCTAGGAAGGAGAGCAGGACATCTCTGTTTTAGAACAGACCATACATCCCATTTGTCTCTCTCCCTTGTGTGTGTCAACAGCAAGAGACAAGAGACTGGTAGAAGGATGGATTATCCCCATCCCAGGACAGGAAATTAGACCTCATAGACAAAAAACATTCATACTATGTACAGGTGACACTTGTAATGCTCAACCTCAGAACAGAAGCTGTTTGCATACTATACACTGCGGAGAACGCTGATAGCAAATATTCCAGTATTTAAGCTAGTACCAAAAAGGCACTGTGGTCATTTCTGGCTCTCATCTTCCTGTGTCACTGGTTCACCACCATTAATACTGAACATCATTCTATGCAATACTACTACATATCATACAGCAAGCAACAGATCTTCAGCAAAGACACTTAAATATAAAAATGTAACTATGTAACTTAGCATTAGTATCATCTGCTCTTCCTATTACTTTTGTGGACTGCTGAGTTTCAAATAATTAAGACAAGAATTTCTGCAAACATTTGAGAACTAGCCTGAACTTCTGAACACCACAAAGACCCCTTACCTGCAATACGATCACGTGTTTCTCCTGCTTTTTACTCTAAAATTATGCATATGGAATCAGACTGTGAAAATCCCTAGCCCATTGTTGATTAAAAGTTCTGCTAAAAGCAAGTTTAATGAAGAGTAAAAGTGAGTGTAATGAAGGGAAGTTCCATTACAATTCTCTCTCAGATATAAACAAGAGAAACTAAATACAACTTAAAAAATGTTTAAGTACCTGCAGACTTTGGATCTTCCATTCTTTGCCTGATCTGAGAGGTCAAGCTCTGGATCAAGGAATAGACTTTGTCACATGTTTTTACAGGATTTTTAATAACCTGCATTGATTTTATCAATGAGATGCTTCCAGATGGAGTAAGCTGCAATTTGAGATAAACACAAAATTATCTAAACAAACTGACTAGAAAGAACTGGGGAGATAATATAGAACATATGAAAGATTCCAAGTATTGGATAAAAAGCATTCAAGCAGTTTGATATTAATTTTTGAAACCATTTCTCAAACACCTACTCCCTTTGAGGCATTAAGAAAAACACGTTGAAAGGTAGTAAGATTTACTAGATATTCAAAGATGATAAGGAATTCATAGGGCAATTAATTCTATACAGTAAACGTGAGCAGTTTCTGGAGTTCCTAAAACTCCTTTTTTGTTCCAAGACAGGAAAATTGGGATGACTTTTAAAACTTTGTACATAATTAGCAACCTTCCATAACTTCCTGTCAACTAACTAATGTATTCAAAAGTTTACCAAAAATCTGTAAGAAAAGTTGTCATTAGGCTGTATGCCTCACAAAATACTTTTTGTTCTATAAAGTACCCTCCTTAGCAAAAGTGGAAGAAAGAAACAGATTTGCAATATTAACTGAAAAAAAGATTGTATCGTCCTGTTTTAGGTTTTTGTTTCTACAGGACTACAGCACACAAACAAACAGAAACCCTTTAATGCACATATATCAAGAACATACGAGATGCCCTTCAGAGCTGACTTAATTATAGAAATTGTGGAAGCTACAAATTATCACCAAGTTGAGTGTCACTAAAACAATACAGTCCATATCCATGCAAGTGAGATACAGTTTAACCTCATTTTTTCCAGAAAAGTATGCATAATGCAAGTAAGCAAACAATGATATTAAACAATAATTTATATACATAACACACATACATATTTGCACTTTCCCCAGTTTGCTCAAATGCATAGGATAATTTGGATATGGAAAACTTCTGCTTTCTACCTAATAGTAAGCAGTTCCTACCTCCATATTATGATCAAGTAAATGAATAAGAAAGGTGCTCTGGCACAGAAAAAAACCCCATATTGTTTTCCCAGGTTGCAAGTAAGTTAAAACAAAAAAAACCCAAACCTCAAAAATCCCCAAGAAAGTTATTACCACTTTATAATCCCAAAGGTTAGTTACTTTCAGTGACTGTCTTAGAAAAGTGTGCTCCATTAGTTCCAGCCACCTTTAAAATCCCATTATACAGCAAAAAGAAGGGGGGAAATTAAATAAATCCCCGAGACATTGTAGCATTGTAGCCTCTCACTTTTTCCAAGTACTGCTGAATCTACTGCTGTCAGTGGTTTGGATGATACTTTTAATCTGTAAATTCAAATGAATCCACAGAGTATACGTGCAGGGTAGTGAAATTATTTTTCAGTAATTTGCTCTGAATACCTTTTAGAAAATAGCAGTTTAAGCTTAAACCTCATTTGACGACTTGTATTTAGTTGTTATACCAGACAGAGTAAGGATAATTGAAAGAGAAAGAAGTTTCTTAACAATAACAAACATTACTTACATTTAAAACCAGGAACAATCATGTGTGTTCAGTACTAAGTCAGCATAAACTGTATTAACATGCACTGATTTAGGCATGTTAATGAGACATTTCCTTTCACCGATTAGAAAGTATTCTACTGGTTTTCAGCATCCTAGTATTCTTAGATTTTTTAAAAAAGGCCTTTTAGCATATTAAATATTCAAACAACTGCAGTAGGCAGACAATACATTTTGTAATACCACACACTGTCAAAGTGAAGATTACAGGAAGTGTAAACAACAGTTTCATTTCTTGAATAATTAAAATATTTTTAATGGAAGAGTGAAAAAGATTTATGAATCGCTATCTAGTCCTATTTCAAAGTTTGTAGCTGTTCTGATTACTCAAACTGCAAGACGGCTCAAAATATCTGCTATTACAATTGGTACAGCTTCCTTTGTAGTTCAAACTATTTGCAAGCACACAAATAATTTTTCAAAATAGATACATAAAATCACTGCTCATTACTTTTACACAAGAATTGTGTGGCTATTTATTTCAATTCATAGGAAACTAATCATATGCTAACCTTATCGTAGTCGTCAGCAGTAAATTCTCTGTCTCTCTGGAGAATTTCATGGAGTCTTGCTTTAACACGATGTTGACAGCTGCTTAAAGAATCACTGTCACTGTCCAAGAGACCATTCATATTAGCACTTTTTACCATCTGGACAAGAATAGGGGTCAGCTCTCCCTCTAAGGCCAGTAGTCCCTGAAGCAAATAATACAATTAATCAGACAGATAAAGATGACGATATAACAGTATCTTAAAAAACCCACCCAAAACACTGATTTAAATTCAAGATTGCATCACTTTCCTATGGGTTAGACTAACAGCAACTTGGCAGACAATGCAAATGTTTGTATAGAAATGGTCCCCAAAGCACTGCATTGGTGCGCAGGATTGCTACAGTTGGTTGAACAGTGATGGTGACATGTCATAGAACACGCTCCCCACCACCAGCTGAAGTGACCCTAGCATCTTAGTAGTGCCAACACTGCTCCTGGGAAGCCACAGCTGTTCAGGTCTTGGGTTGCAAGGGGGTGCATGGTGCCTTCTCCCTGAGGCTGGGAGCACATCAGCCTGACTTGTGGGAGACACGCTCTGCTCAAGGGGTTGAGTCACCAGACAGTAGCTATGGGAAGAGTTAGCAAACCAAATAGCATCTGGGAGAACAAATGGAAGATAGATAAGGTCTTTGCAGAGACTCTACAGAGGCAAAAGCCCAAACCCTGTCTGGCACAGAAGGACACTCAAAGGCTACAGTTGAGTAAGAGGTAAACAGAGACTTCCAAAATAGAGAAGGCTGAAAACATTTGTGACTTTTCTGGCAACAGAAAGGCTCTGGGATAAGGAAGGAAATTGGGTGGTGTCT